GTGAGTGTGGGGGAAGTTCGTGAGGCAGTAGGTAAAATGAAAGGGGTAAGGCAGCCGGGATTGATGGGATAAAGATAGAAATGTTAAAAGCAGGTGGGGATATAGTTTTGGAGTGGTTGGTGCAATTATTTAATAAATGTATGGAAGAGGGTAAGGTACCTAGGGATTGGCAGAGAGCATGCATAGTTCCTTTGTATAAAGGCAAAGGGGATAAAAGAGAGTGCAAAAATTATAGGGGGATAAGTCTGTTGAGTGTACCTGGTAAAGTGTATGGTAGAGTTATAATTGAAAGAATTAAGAGTAAGACGGAGAATAGGATAGCAGATGAACAAGGAGCTTTAGGAAAGGTAGGGGGTGTGTGGACCAGGTGTTTACAGTGAAACATATAAGTGAACAGTATTTAGATAAGGCTAAAGAGGTCTTTGTGGCATTTATGGATTTGGAAAAGGCGTATGACAGGGTGGATAGGGGGGCAATGTGGCAGATGTTGCAAGTGTAGGGTGTAGGAGGTAGGTTACTGAAAGCAGTGAAGAGTTTTTACGAGGATAGTGAGGCTCAAGTTAGAGTATGTAGGAAAGAAGGAAATTTTTTCCCAGTAAAAGTAGGCCTTAGACAAGGATGTGTGATGTCACCGTGGTTGTTTAATATATTTATAGATGGGGTTGTAAGAGAAGAAAATGCGAGGGTCTTGGCAAGAGGCGTGGAGTTAAAAGATAAAGAATCACACACAAAGTGGGAGTTGTCACAGCTGCTCTTTTGCTGATGACACTGTGCTCTTGGGAGATTCTGAAGAGAAGTTGCAGAGATTGGTGGATGAATTTGGTAGGGTGTGCAAAAGAAGAAAATTAAAGGTGAATACAGGAAAGAGTAAGGTTATGAGGATAACAAAAAGATTAGGTGATGAAAGATTGAATATCAGATTGGAGGGAGAGAGTATGGAGGAGGTGAACGTATTCAGATATTTGGAGTGGACGTGTCAGCGGATGGTCTATGAAAGATGAGGTGAATCATAGAATTGATGAGGGAAAAAGAGTGAGTGGTGCACTTAGGAGTCTGTGGAGACAAAGAACTTTGTCCTTGGAGGCAAAGAGGGGAATGTATGAGAGTATAGTTTTAACCAACGCTCTTATTTTGGTGTGAAGCGTGGTGATGAATGTTGCAGCGAGGAGAAGGCTGGAGGCAGTGGAGATGTCTGTCTGAGGGCAATGTGTGGTGTGAATATAATGCAGAGAATTCGTAGTTTGGAAGTTAGGAGGAGGTGCGGGATTACCAAAACTGTTGTCCAGAGGGCTGAGGAAGGGTTGTTGAGGTGGTTCGGACATGTAGAGAGAATGGAGCGAAACAGAATGACTTCAAGAGTGTATCAGTCTGTAGTGGAAGGAAGGCGGGGTAGGAGTCGGCCTAGGAAGGGTTGGAGGGAGGGGGTAAAGGGAGGGTTTTGTGTGCGAGGGGCTTGGACTTCCAGCAGGCATGCGTGAGCGTGTTTGATAGGAGTGAATGGAGACAAATGGTTTTTAATACTTGACGTGCTGTTGGGAGTGTGAGCAAAGTAACATTTATGAAGGGATTCAGGGAAACCGGCAGGCCGGACTTGAGTCCTGGAGATGGGAAGTACAGTGCCTGCACTCTGAAGGAGGGGTGTTAAATGTTGCAGTTTAAAAACTGTAGTGTAAAGCACCCTTCTGGCAAGACAGTGATGGAGTGAATGATGGTGAAAGTTTTTCTTTTTTCGGCCACCCTGCCTTGGTGGGAATCGGCCGGTGTGATAATAAAAAAAAATAAAAATATATATATATATATATATATATATAATATATATATATATATATATATATAAATATATATAAAATATATATAAACACACACACACACACACCTTTGGCCATTCAGTTCTGAAAACTTTCCTACACTTGCTAACGTGTTTGATACCAGGCTTTTCTGTCGATTCCCTGGTAAACCGGGCTGTTGTTGCTTGCTGCCCTGTTGGCTCAATTTTCATCACAGCCTGGTTGATCTGGCACTTGAAAGTAGTAGCTTCCTCTTCAAAACTTCTTGACTTGTTTTGGCAATATTTCTGGCATCTGTTCGTAATAGTCTAGGTCCACTAATGTTGATAGTGTTATCTCATCGTGCCCATGGCGACCCTGTTTTTCACTGGGTTTATTATACGCTTCCACCTGTATCTCTCTCCAGTACGGGGTTATGATAGAGCGCAGATTTGCCTGGAGTATACCTGGAGAGGTATACTCCAGCCTTTTTAAGAATTTTTCGTGTATAAATTATAGGGTATCTCTCTTTTCTTTCCAAACTACATTCCCAGTGCGTTGAAGCGTTCCCCGTAGTTTAAATGATGTATTGGCTCTGAACGGGCAGTAAACTCTGTCTGTACATCTTCCAGCTCTGATCTCTCTCCTGCCTTGAATGAATCCGTCAGCACTAAACAATAATACCTAAGTGAAGAATACAAAGTCATTCCAGTGCCTCATCATTTGCGTTATGTATCTTGTTTTGAATCTTCTCATTATTAACCCTCTCATTTTTTTGCCCTTAGCGGCATTTGTATTATTGAGTTTTCTAAATGCTAAGTCATCTGACATTATTATAACCAAGTGTTCATTTCGTTCTATTAGATGGTTGGCATGAGTGCTGTGTTCAGGGCTCCTTTGAAGGTCTTCATTGAATCTCTCCATATCTGAACACCTGGACACTGTGACTATTGAACCTCATGTTAATATACATTACCCACGGGAAGACTTTTATATATATAATATATATATATATATATATATATATATATTATATATATATATATATATATATATATATATATAATATATATATATATACATATATATATATATATATATATATATATATATATATATATATAATATATATATATATATATATATATATATATATATAAGCAACGCTCTTCTTGCCATATAAGGCAAGCGAAAAATTGTGTATGCAATAATTTCGCAAAATAATCATTCTGAACATGATGAAAAAAATATTTTTCATTGTGTTTATTTATTAAATTATTGTAAACTTATCAAAAATGTATTTAGCTGGATTAGGCTAAATTAAATTGCGCTTGTTCTCATAAGGTTAGGTAAGTTTTCTAAGGTTCTTCTGGTACAAAATTTTTAATTTTTACAATAACATAAATGAAAAAATATATCTTTAAACGTAAAAGAGAAAATTTTAGAAAGGACTTAATTTTAGATGAGTGCTTGCTAACTGACCAGTTTTACCTACACGGCACGACACACACACACACACACACACACACACACACACACACACACACACACGCACACACACACATATATATGTATAATATATATATATATATATTATATATTATATATATATATATATATATATATATATATATATATATATATATATATATATATATATATATATATATATATATATATCACCCAGTTTTATTCAAACTACACAGGTGCGGAATTAAAACAATAAAACTCGTCGTTCTTTGCACAGGTTTTTAGAACATTAATATTATTATAATAAAAATTAAGGGCTAAACCCACAATGTGTAAAAGCAGCAGCACTGTTGCTTCAGCTCTCAGGCACTCACATACGCCTGACTTAATTTCATCACATTTTTATTCAAGCTTTCATAATCGTCTTAAATTTATTACAATCAATACTCTAAAATCTATATTCTTTTTTTCTTTTAAACACTAACAATCATTTCTATCTTAACATCTGTACCACATTCAAACACATTTAAAATTACCTTCTTTCACATTTTTTATAAAAATGCTTACAGATAAGAGCTACTAGCCCGTTACTCCGGAAATTTTAGTCTCTATGAAACCTATAATTACAGACATGATCCTAAGCACTTTATCCGTGAAATTACGAAAATATTACAGATCTATTAAGAAACAGAAGAAATAACTTGCAATCGTTAAGATTTACCTATCACCTTATTTGCTGACAAGACAGAGGAAACAAGAACAATCTTAGCGGAGTGTAAAACTGGCTTCTGTTTCAGCACTCATGTGATATAGGTTAGTAACTTCCTTTGTGGCTGCTGCCAACCACCCCACTGCACTCAAGACTGCTCACAAAACAATGTTTTCTAAGACTGAGCTGAGAAGCAGTAGTAATAACTGTAGCAGCAGTAGTAGTAATTGTAGTAACAGCAACAGTAAAAATAATAACAGTAGGAATAGTGGTGGTTAACAACAGTAATAGTTGTAATAGTAAAAGTGGTAATAGCTACAGTCAAGTAATAACAACAGAGATAGTGGCTGAAGCAATAAAGGTTGCAATAACAGCAGGAACAACAAGATTAGACGTGTCAGTTAGCATGATATCAGCATGATGCCAGCCTCTTGCAATGCTAAAGTAAGCATTAAGGAATAGCATGGCAGACTTCAAGTGAGGACGACCTCCCAATTAACGACCTCTTATGATCATTATCTGCATAACCTGAGGGCTTTACTCACTCTCTCTCTCACCATTTTTGTATCACTTACGGATGTGAGAGGACGATAGTCCGATTCCTACAGCATAAGCGATGATGATTCACAAATCATCAATATTATGATCACCACCAGCCACTACCACATAAACGTCCACACACAGTAAACACATGTTACAAATTTCGACAATGAGAACATGGTCCGAGTCTCCCTTCACTCTACTGTTTATTCATTGACAGTTGTTCAATAACATTCATCTTTTGAAAAAAAATCTCTTTCGGAGAGAGAGAGAGAGAGAGAGAGAGAGAGAGAGAGAGAGAGAGAGAGAGAGAGAGAGAGAGAGAGAGAGAGAGAGAGAGAGAGGGGGAGAGAGAGAGGAAGAGAGAGAGAGAGAGAGAGAGAGACAGAGAGAGAGAGAGACAGAGAGACAGAGAGAGAGAGTTAATTAAAATTTAGTAACTAAACTGTGAACAATTTGAGTAAGAGTTTTTGACTTGAGAGACCGAACAAAACATTGATCATTAGTGTACTAACCTGCGGTCCCAGATCTTGTGTATGTGTTGTAGGCGCAGCAGGAACAGTAGCAGCAGCAGCAGCAGCTGCAGCTGCTGCTGCAGTAATGGCAGTAGCACCAGCAGTAGAAGTAAAAACAGTAGTACTGGCAGTAAACAGCAGAAACAGGTGAGGTAGCAATAGCAGTAATAGCTACAAAAATAGCAGCAGTAAAAACAATAACAGCTGCAGCAGCAACTACAGCAATAGTATCAGTGAAAGTAATAACAGCAGCGGTAGCAGCTACAGCAACATCAACAGCAGCAGTAAAGCAATAACAGAAGCGGTAGTAGCTGCAGCAACAGGAGCCGCAATAACAGCAGCGGCAGTAGCTGCAGCAACAGGAGCCGCAATAACAATTGCAGCAACAATGACAGTAGTAGGTTGAAAACAGTAGTAGAAACAGCAATAACAGCAGATTGAGATGAGCAGTAGCAGACAGCACGAGCAGTGGTATCCAAGCTGGTCGGAGAACCCAACGGAACTGCTGGTACTTGCAGCCTCCAGCGTCGACCACTGAGGCATGCTCACCCCACCACGCCTCCCACCTTGCTACTCATACCTCTAATACCACTAATACCTTCCCTAGTACCCACTCATACCTTACTCTTGCCTCTCCAAGCAGTCACTCATACATCTCTCAATACCTACGACTATTCCAAATGAAATGGCATATCACTAGTAATAAGCAATGAGCTAAAATATACTATGCAAGAACTCGCTTCAGACAGCAACATCAACACAATAATAGGCTTCAGAGCAAGAAATTTCGAGTTTAGTATTCCCTAAAAAAATATTATCACTGCAATGCTCTCGTCAGACCCCTTGTATGAATATCTTGTCCACTTCTGGCACCTTGAGTGTATAAAAGACGTAGATAAACTTGAGAGAGCACAGAGCAGAGTAATACACAAACATTAAGAAACAATATTAGAAATGGGTGTGGGTCATCAAATAGATTTGTGATAAGCGTAATACCTACTTCAATGACTGTTACCTTATATGTTCTTCAATATTATCAACAAACTGACTAAAGCAATTATATTTTAATATTTATCCTCACCGGGCACAGCATAACCGGATATAACGGAAGAAGACTATTTCTAGAAATATTCATCCCGTAGTATGAGGTTTAACACCAGTGGGGTCAACATATGCTTTGTAGAATTGTGGAACACTGGTATAATATCCCCAAGCAGTTGTCTCAACCAATACCGGCCAATCTTTAAAGAATCTGCTAGACGGTCACTCAGCACACATTGGACTACATCACAATATACGATACTATTAATCAGTCCTCCACTAATACATATTATTATTATTACTATTATTATTATTATTATTAATGGTAAATACTGAGTCTAAAGGGCTACCTTGAGTCGACCTGGAGGGTGTTCTGGGGGTCAGCGCCCCCGGGATCCGGTCCATAACCAGGCCTCCCTGTTGATCAGACAGGGCCTGATCGACTACAATGTTACTGCTAGACGCATGGATTCTAATCGTAAAAGAAACAATTAAAAGTGTGTAATACTGACTAGTTTGTCCATATATATATATATATATATATATATATATATATATATATATATAATATATATATATATATAATATATATATATAATATATATATATATATATATATATATGGTGGCATGTACATTCACTACATTTCCTATCATGTTTCCCCTGTCAAGAAAAGTGTTCTTATCTCCCTTTTTCTCCGTGCCCTCCGCATCTGTGATCCTCAGTTCCTTGCAGCAGAAATTTCCACTCTTCATAATTCGTTTTCCCGTCTTGGCTACCCTTCCCATTTCATAGACTGCCCTCTCACGTGCTAAACGTAATTTCTTCTCTCCCAAATTCTCTACTCCTGGGAACTCTTCTGTCCTCTGCCTTCCCTACATTTCCGAGCTTTCTAATCTCAACAATTCTCTCCGCCCCTTAGACATCAAACTTACTTTCCGCCAGACTAACACTCTTCGCACTAATCTCGTTCATACCTCTCCTCCCTCTACAGATGTTCCTGGTGTCTACTCTATTTCTTGCTCCTCCTGTCCTTTTCAGTACTTTGGAGAAACTGGTCGATCTCTTTCTGATAGACTTAGGGAGCACAAAAATAGTGTTAGGCTTGCCGACACTAACAATGCTCTGTTCTGTCACGTCAGAGATCACAGCCATCCTATTGACTGGTCTTCCGCTAAAACTGTCTTCCCTGCTTCTAACTCGAACAGTCGCCGTCTAGTTGAATCCTCTCTAATACACAACTTTCCTTGTATGAATCTTAGCCGTGGCTTCGTCTCTGTAGATGCCTTTCTCTCCCACTACATTGTAAAATGTTCCAAACTTCAGAACACCCGTGACTTAACCTGATCCTCCTTTTTTCTTCTCCCTCTTCCCCTTTCCTCTTTCCTTTTTTCTCGTCTGGGTTGTCTTTCTTCTGTCTCGTGTTTCTGTTCCTTCATCATTTATTTATTTCATCACTTCCCCTTCCCCCCACCTCTGTGCACTTGCTCTCCCTCTGTGGGCACCTAGCTCCCTTGCAGTGCTCCCTTTTCTTTGTATTTGTCTGGCTCCTCCTCCCTTATTCCCCACTACTACCACTACCACTACTACTACTACTACCACTACTACTACTACTACTACTACTACTACTACTACTACTACTATACTACTACTACTACTACTACTACTACTACTACTACTACTACCACTACTACCACCACTACCTCTTCCTGCCTATATATAGCCGTCCTGCTCCACTTCTCGTTAGTGTAACTTTGTAAATGGTCCAAGTCGGACCGAAACGTCGTCGTAAGCTCCTCTTCTGTATGCGGGTTATTTGTGTATCGTTCCAGTCACGGTATTGTGCCTTTTTTTGTTGTTGTTATATAACGTGTGTGTGAAACGAAATGCACTAACTAAACCTTACCTACGGTAAACTAAAGTAACCCAGTAAACCAAAGTAATTCAACCTTAACAAACGAAACCTAGCCCACTAAATAAGTAATAATCATTTGTACTCGCATTTACATTGCTTCGTTACAGAGCACGTTCGTCTTATTCACTAAAATCCGCGAATTACGACGTGAAAGGTCAACTAACACGTGTCTCACTGAGCAGACATTGCTAGAGTGTTGGAACTATTTACATGGCCGCTCGCTGGTCGAGCCTATATTTTTCCTCATACAATCTACCTCTCATAAAAATAATTTTGTTTGTAATATCTCCACTTGGAAAAAAATGCACATGAAATAGATATTTTTGCAGGGCTACGGATAAATTGTTTTTGTTATAGAAATTAAAATATAACATTAATTTTTGGAACCATTAATTATATTATTATTATTATTATCATTATTATTCAGGCCTGACCCAACGAAAATGCGTTGCTCTGGTACCTTGGAACAAGAGCACTTCAGTGATTCTCACGGCCAATATTGATGAAATCATTGATGCTGACGCAGTAAGGGAGGGGACTTTTGATCCACGGGATTAGAGCTATCTTCCGCCTTCCTCGGATCAGATCTGACTGCCTCTCATTTTCCCCGATGTGCTAACCCTCTACGGGCTTAGCACTTCTTCGGGAATAGATAAGCAACGAAAATAACAACAGTTCAAAAAATCAAGGACAGTAGAGACAGCAACAATGACATCAACAACAACAATAGCGGCAGCAGCAACAAAAATAGTAGCAACAAGAACAACAATAGCATCAACGGACGGAGGATCAAGCCCCCACCACTCTCGCTGAAATGATCCCTAAAGGGTTTAGCGCTTCACGTCATTTATTACTGTGTAAGCAAGTGATGCTGCCATATATATATATATATATATAATATATATATATATATATATATATATATATATATATATATATATATATATATATATTATATATATAATAAATATATATATATATATATCTTATATATATTATGTCAGAGTACCTTATATGAACAACCATTATTATTATAATTATTATTATTACTTGTAGAAGCAGTAGTAGCACAAGTAGCAGTACTAGTAGTAGCAGTGGTATTATTAGTTGTAATGGAAGTAGTAGTCATAGCAACGTTAGTAGCAGTGGCATTAGTGGTAGACGTGGTAACAACAGCCAGGAAAATGATAGGATGGATAATGAAAACTTAAAAATCGATTGTGCTCTCTCACTTAGAGTATTGTATAGTGTCAACTGCTCCGTTTAGGGCAGGAGAGATATCAGAGCTGGAACAGTTATCATTTACAGCCCTCACAGAACTAATGAAGCATTACTGGGAATACTTTAAGGTTCTAAATATGTGCTCACTAGAGCTGAGGAGCGAGAGACACATGATAATATATATGTGGAAGGTGTTGGAGGATCTACACCCAAATCTGCACACTGCCAAATCAACTTATTTGAATGAACTGTGAAAAATATGGGAGAAAATGTAAAAAAAAAAAAATCCATTGAAAACGGGCAATATAAGAGGACATTGTATCAACATTTATAGGCAAAAACTCTTCAACAATCTACTGAAAAATACCAGAAATACTGCTGGAACAAGAGTAAAAGTCTTCAAGAAAAAACTAGACCAGTACCTCCGCCAAGTGCCAGATCAACCAGGCTATGATGGATACGTGGCTAGCGGACTGCCAACAATAACAGCCTGGTTGACCAGGCAAGCACCAGACAAGCCTGGCTTAGGGTCGGGCTGCGAGAGTAGGAAGACAGAGGTATATCAAAAGTATACCTAATGCAATGTACTATTACCGAATATAGACTAATACCCGCCAATACCACCTAATGTTTGTAGTAGCTGATAGAGACTAACTAACCACATGTGTCGTCCTATCATCTGCCACTAGCCAGCCAGGCTCTGATAACACGTAATGTACACTAATACTAGGTCATTGAAGCTGCCTTCTTTGCTCTACCCACAACAGATGTCGTTTATTGCCGTTTTGTGTTACAGTCTTCCAAGCCTTGTTCTCCCTTGACAATTTCCTGTTACACCTCACTGTGTGAGTGTGATTGTGAGTGTAACTGTGAGTATGTCTCTCTCTCTCTCTCTCTCTCTCTCTCTCTCTCTCTCTCTCTCTCTCCTAGGCAATCATTCAACGAGTGAATTATTTATTCAAACATGTAATCAATCAATCTGTACACCATGTGGTCAATCATCAAACAAATCATGCAGCCCATCAATCTCTGATATCCGTACGTGTGTGTGTGTGTGTGTGTGTGTGTGTGTGTGTGTGTGTGTGTGTGTGTGTGTGTGTGTGTGGTGTGTGTGTGTGTGTGTGTGCGTGCGTGTGTGTGTGTCACTTCACATCATCATCATTTGCGACAAAACACATTCTTCATTATATTCTGTGGTGAACCACTACCATTTGAATTCTCTTCCCCTACTATCCCCTCTCCCTTTTTCTCTTCATACTTGCTTCCCTTCTTTTATCTGTCCTCCTCCTCTTCCTCCTCCTCCTCCGTCCTCTTTTCCTGAGCTGGA